CCCACCATTCTCCTGATTCTGCTTTCCTGCCTTTAAACTAAATATTTCAGACTTTGCATGTGGTTGGACAGCCAGTCCTGAAAGTAAGAAGTCAAAATAAGCTTTGGGGAGTTAAAAAAGGTTGATTCTTGTAATGTACAAACTCATAAAATATAAATCATGATCCACAAATAGGAAATTGAATACCCTGGCAAAGTGCCTGGGGAAAAGGCTGCATGACCCAGAGTGGAACTAATGTACAACAAATGAAACTGGTCTAACTTTACAGGAAGCCCCTTGGTCTCACGTGAGGAAAAAATACAGGGAATTCTACAAAAATGCCTCATATTTCCCATTAGATAAGACAATCAAAATACAATTCGCGGGTCATTGAAAATATAACAAAGTTATGTTTCATAAGGGCACCAGGTGTCAAAATAATTGTTGAACATAGTTTTTAAGCTTTTTGATGTTTTAAAAATAGAAATGCATTTTACATGAGTGCTGGAAATTCTTATCCTATTGCACCTGAGCCACACTGAGCAGAAATTGTCAAGAATTAGGTTATCCAGATAGGTCCTTTCCTCACAAACTCAAGAATGCCAAATAATTGTGCTATTGGTGAAGCAAAATTCTGCCTCTGTGCAAAGGGGCTAGAAATAAGATCCTTTTTTTCCAAGTGGGCTACATAAGCATCTTATTTGTAACTGTTCTATTTATACATGGTTGGCTCTGCAGAGTTTGCTGCAGGCCCTTGAATTTACTCAAAAGGATTAATGTACGAAATGGTGGAATTCTATAACGTTGGGTTAAGATGGAGTTTTTCAGCAAAGCTTTCCCGACAGTCTGCATGTCTGTGGCAATCCAACCAGACAGTCAAGCTCACAGCATGTCTGGGCTTTTGATTTTAAATGCATCTCTTCACAGAATTCAATTGCTGGCTGCTCAATTATTGATCGTCATGAGGTTTTGCTTTGTCTTTCAGACACAGAGTGGTAAAATGAATTACAGGGAACACATTTATTATGAAGAAAGGTATTGGAAGATTCACTGATAATCAAATCTGTGGTAAAACGCATTGACTGGAACAATGCACAGAAATGGGATGAATGAAAATACTGTTGTGATTTTCTTTTTTGGCAGGGGGAGAGAGAGGAGGGGTTGGGTATGGCAAATAATACGCCAAAAACTAAGAAGGCCCTCCTATTGCTGCCAATTATCCTGTACAACCTGATTCAATTTCCCATGCTCAATTCCTTGAAACTATTTTTATAAGTCATTCTCTTCGTGGAAAAATAGCAGTTGCCTGTTTTATACATTTTGCTTTTTTTAGTCTGTAACAAAACCGCCTAGAACATTTAATAGAACACTTGAGTATTGTACGTGGCATGGAACTTATTACATTATCATACACTTACTCTAGCTCATGAACTGTAAAGCCACTCAAAGGCTGTAAGTTCTCAGCAAATTTTGTCTGAAAATTTCTGCTTACTGAGTGAGCAGTCGGATCAGTCTGAGATGTCATAGTGGTGGAGATGTAATTGCTCCACGATTTTCACAATGAACGTTCTTCTGAGTTATCTCCAAACATGGAGTCATCTCACAGAGAGCTTTTGTGTAAAGTTCTTCCATTTCAGACTTGTGTTTCCAACACCATATTTGATTGAACTGAATGGTCAAATTTGCTATGGCAACAGCTTAGAGCTGTTCTAAGCTGTTGCCAACATTGTACTGCCTCCCGTCTTCACTCCCTCAGGCAACTTTCCGCCTTTAACCCTTCAAGGACTGTCTCGGGTTTCAAGAAGTACCCTTCCCCTTTCCAAACAAAATGCATTCTTCAGAACTTTTGATTAAGAACATTGACTATTTCTAAATAATTGCAGATCTGTTGGAGAACAAAACGAGCACACTTTTTTTAATTTTAAAAATTCTATCTTTGGCACCAAAGACTCCTGGGGTCCTCAAAGGTTTAAACAAATTGTAAAATGATATTGGATACAGTGGCTGATAATGAAGCAGCAGGATACTTAATAATGCAAATTTGACTAGTCTACCAGGATGTATTCTGTGGGATTTAGTCCTGTTGGTTGCACAGAGGTTGTACAGATGTAGACTCCTGATTTGGCCCGCTCAGCAATATTCAGTGCTTGGGATTGATGCATACCTTACATCACCACAATCCTGTTCAGTTCATGCAAAGGCAGCAGCAAGTGACTGCACCTGGAGCAGGGAGGAGCATGTGAGGGCAAAGGCTGACCCCAGCTGGGGCACTAACTAAACAGACATTACACTGTATGAAAGGTCCAGACAACCCCTGCGGATTCATCATGCGACACTCGGCTTTCTTCTTTTCTAGACATGGTAATTCCAAAGAATATACTGAGATCACCAGTGGTGCAATTATCTACCAGTTTCTCATTTTCTCCTCCCGTTTGGTTCTGAAGAATTCAGAAAATTAATAGATCGCGGTTTTTAGATTAGATTTCACAAGAACCCTTGTTATGACTACTTGCTAATTCTATCAAACTGATCTAAATCCATATGATTAAGAGTTAGGAATCTGCAAGTTGTGCAGAGGCTCTCTGGTGCTTTTGACAGTAGAACTAATACAGTGGACTGGGTGAGGGGGAGCACATTTTTTCAGGCTGGAGAATTGAACATGGCAATAATTTGTTTCAGCTGCCAGATAATTTTAATATTTAAGCCTGTTCCTTGTTACACAAGCAGCAGAATTTGTTAATTAGAGTTTTTAGAAATGATAATAATAATAATTAATAATAATAATAATAACATTGTATTCCTCGGTTTAATTTTCACGCCGGAGAAGAACAGCCACATGGCTTCCTCCGTTGTCTTCGGACACACCTGCCATTTGAAGGTTATGTAAACCGTAGCTACCTTTTGTAGTATTCCATACTGAATAACCCCCTCCCCATCCCCTTTGTCCCTCTTTAATCAAACACAGCCGTTATGGCAGGCAAATGACTGTCTGATTTGTATTTAAATCCAGGTAGGGAAGTAAGGTGTAATAAAGGAAGGGAAGGGTCTGGCTTGTATTGTAAAGTTTAATAGGGCCGTAAGTCAGGCAAGCACCCTCTCCTTTTCAAATCAATTGTGTTGTGCACTTAGACACAGCTGTATCCCGATTCAGTTGATCACCACAGAAGAAGTGAAATTCTTTCCTCTGTGCAAGTCATCTCCTTTCAAAGAGCCAGTCACCCTGGCAAGTAGGTATTTTGTCTAGCGCTGGTAGTGCGGAATGTCTGCCATATTTGTGGCATGAAAGTAAGGCATCGGCAATTCTAAAGATTTGTTATTGCAATAGTGCCTACCGTGAAACCACTTCAATACTTTTGGCTTTTTAAAAAAACGAAAATGCAAGTGCCAGAGTTAAAATCTATTTCCAAGCTATAGAGACTATAAGAGGCCATGGGGTTCATCCACTAATCCCGCCTTAACATTATTTTTCGAAAGCACCCAACCCTGAGCCTCCAATTTTAATAAGTTGTGAACAGGTTTTCAAATTGGTCACAGAAAGATGACTTTTTTTTAAAATACATAAACTATATGTGCGTGTGTACAGACGCACACGATATACGCATTCACTGCTGCAAAAATGAAAGAGGTTGAAAACAAATGTCTGCATTCAATGAGTTCCTCTCCCTCCTCAGTCAACATAAATGACTTGTCAGAAATAAAGCAGTCCTGAAATAAAGCATGACCCTCATTGCGGAAATATTTAAATGTTCCTACATTTCTCCACATTTCGCTGCTGTGAACCAAAGACAAAGGCGAGATTGATGCAGTGAGGGTCAGAATGCCTCCACTGATTGCTGCACTCGCCCTTCCTGCTGCATATGGTCAATTAATATCGAAAATACTCAGCCGATTCCATTTGCTGCAGATTTCAAGTGGAACCTTATAAGCCGGAAAGAATAACGTGAAAGGAACAATAAAAAGGGCACGTGGCCATCTGTTCTGGTCAAACTCTGCGCAAAGTTCTCCTGCTTTGGTTCTGTTAAGGTAACGTTACTGGGAACGTTAACGTTTGATTCGGAACAAAGAAAGGCAATGCTTTTACTGAACCCACTGAGCAGCAGAAGCACAGAACCGACTTGTCATTGCATTGCGTGCAAGGCTCCTTGGCTGTAGAAAAAGCTGGGGGGGGGGGGGGGGGGCTGTCCAGACAGGCTCCAGCTCTGTTGATCATTATGTCTAGCCTTCAGGTGTCTCAACTCACAGTGGGTGGTGAAAGAGGGAAGGGGGGTGGGTGAGGGGGGGGGGAGAGGAGGAGGAGGAGGAGGTGTAGACGACATGAAGGCAGACAAAGAGAAAAAAAAAACTGCTCACAAAAAATGCATCATGCGTCCTCTTGCAACACGAATGTCTGTACATTGAGTCGAGACAGGCTTTGAGGAAGCAAAATCCGAAACGAATGTAGAATGATGTTGGAAAGATTAACTAATAAAAAATCCCTTCTGCTCACCCCCCCCCCCCCTTTTTTTTTTGTTTTGAATTTCAGAGCTCAGCAGCTACGTCTCTGTAGCAGCTCCCGCTCCCTCAGCAGCTCTGTGCAATGACCTGAGCTCCCGAGCTGACTGGACGGTGCAGCAGAGCCCTTGCGGACGGGTCAGTCAAGTTTGTTCAGCTTTAACGCTCGCAGTCAACTGATTGGACACAGTGGATGTCTTATCCCATATTTCATCTGGTGCCGCTCTCTGAATAATGCAGAGACCAGACTGCCTGTGCTCAGAGTCAGCCTGTACTGCAGTCGACAGACAGACAGACAGACAGACAGACAGACAGACCCCTCAGGCTGATGACTTTTTTTTGTTTTTTTTTAAAAAAAAGAACGATCTAAGGTTTTACTTTGTGGCATTTGAGACACACACATCAAACTTCCACGTTCTTTTGCAAACGCTGTTTGTTTGCAAAAGCCCCCGAGCAGCCGGTGGGTCATTCTTGTTCTGCGCAACGCAGCTATTTCAGGAATGCAAAGTGGATTAAAAACAGATACTTACGGTTCAGTTGCGGGAATACTTTTGTCAATCTTCTTCTCAGCGGCACAGCGGTGTCTTTTTCGCTTTTAAGTGCAAGACGAATAAAGGAAAGGGACCACGAAGTTCCATCGACCGTAGAAAGTCACTCGAGTCGGACACTTTAGTCAGACAGTTGTCTGCGGACATCCCCCTTTTGCTCGAGTATTGCTTGTATCTGCAGCACTGAATTGAACTATATAATCCCCATGTGAAAGACAGGGGGGAAAGGTAGTCACGTGGGGCACACGGAGGCCCACGATTGGCTCCTCTGACGATCTTTCAGCGAGACATTTTTTTTCCCCCCTCTATTGGCTGCACTGGAAGATGGAAGCGGTGCGGTGCCTCCCAGCCCGGGTTTTACTGGGAGAATGATTATGTGGGAGTGAGGCTGACGGGGGGTGGGGGGGGGCGGGGGGGGGGGGGAGTAGCTGGGAAAGGTCTGCAGCCGTTATTAGGCTGAGGTCGGGAGAGGAGGAATAAAAGCTTAACTTTGCATTTCATCGTCCCTTTGTGATTATCATTCTGCACATAAAACAGGAGGGGCCGAAAGGATGAACTTGGGCACACGGTCAACTCCGGCAACTCTCAGACACCAGTCTCCAATGCAGTGCAGATGAGCCCCACTGATCAATATTCTTTATCTCGCTATTTGTTTCTCCTGTTCTCTTCTCCCCCTATAGGCTTTTTACTCCTTTTCCCACACAGGCGCCAGTCTCATTTTGGTACCTTGCAAAAGCAGCCAATATTCACAAGGGAGCCTTGATTGGAAATGTCAGCAGGTTTTTGGACCACCGGTGGCGTAACTGCTTAGCTCAATCCTGTCCTTACTGGATAGCCGTGCATAAAAATAATCCTTGGCATTTTGATATTGAAACGTCTCGAAGTGCTTCACAGAATGTGTCGTAAAGTGGATGGACTGTATTATGTGAGAGAAATGCGGTTACTAATTGCGCACAGCAGTGTCCCACAAACAATCGTGGATTGAGCGACCCAAGTTTTTTTTAAAAGGATTGAACCCAGATCCTCTCGTTTGCGAGACGAGCACTCTTAACACTACGGGACTCCAGCAAGGAGCACTGGTTGATTTTACATTCCTCCTTGATGCCCTGGCTTAGATCTGCTAACTCAGCACAGGACAGGTTTCCAAACCTGCAATTGTTTGTTTTTCATGGCTTAGCGCTGCACCAGGCAGTGCTTTGATAAGATGAATTCTAATAGAATCAAACCTAGTAATAAGCTGCATCAAATAATTGCAGAATCCAATGTTGCTATGAAGGTAGCTGTTTAAAAGCAAATTCTGCTTAAATACAACAATTTCCAGATCAGAGGTGATGTCCACTTTTGTCAAGTCATTTAAAATAAAAGTTCCTCCCTCATGTTTCTGTGCCAGTATGACTCAGTTGTGCTCTGCTTTAACCTTTCATTAACATAACATAACATAACCGCAACAAATATGCAAGTTTGATTTTAAAAAAATGTTTTGAGATCATGGAAAATACTCCGATTCTGTTCTCAGTATGGGGGACGGTGAAAGTGATTTTGTGTTTGTGTTCATGTTTCCCTTTGTTCTACATTTCAAAAATGTTATCGGTGTTTGGATACTGAGACGATGGGAATGACTCAAAGGGCGACTGAAATTGCGAGTTGAATCAAGACTCTTCTCTTCAGTCACCCTCCTACCCCCACCTTCCCTGTCCTCCACCCCTCCTGATCCCAATCCTCAGCAATTGTGAACATCTTTGATTATCCAGCACCTTGGGATGTCCTCCCAATGTAAAAGGTGCTTTATAAATGTAATTTGTTATTGTTGAATCACCGATCCTACTCCTGTTGAAAAAATTATTTCCTTTCACTCACAAAATATAGTCATTACACTTTACATTATATCCTGTGAAGCGCTTTGAGACATCTCAATGAAGTGACAAGGCGCTAAATCAAATGTAAAGATTATTATTATTATAAAGACCAGCTATCAAGCTTCTGACTTTTCCGGGTTTTCCCATTCGTGATGCATTTTCCCTGATCTTCTGTGCCCTGATTTTTGTCATGGACCAAAAATCTAGTTTCCAATTTTCTTCCCTTCAGTTGCCCCCAGAATGCTACCGGTCACCATTGGTTTGTATCACAGTTCGAAGAGCCTGAATGGATAGAGCAGTGTGGTTGTGGGGCAGGGGCGGGGGGGAAGAGAATCTATTCTCCTATGAAAAACTCTCCATGGTGTCCAATGAGGGTCAGAAAAATTGGATATTTTTGTTTTGTAGTGCTGAATTTAGCAAGTAAATTCATCACCAATTTGTGGTCCATTTTTAACATTCCTGAAGTAATGCAATCATTTCCATGCATCATTATCCCATACTTATTGAAATGAATGGAACTCTAACAGCTTTATGTAGCAATTCAATCTACAGTTACACAGAGTTTATAGAAATATTCAGAAACTCCACTTTGTGTTCTATGCTTAGTTCAGAATCTCTGAGCTGATTTCCATTCCATTCCATCATAACAATTCAACTGGAGACTCCTTCTCTTTTGTACCTTCATTCTAAGTGCAGAATAATATCCATGTGTCCCCATGGGTTCATCAGTGGAGAGATTTCCTCCGATTTTCTTAAGAGTTCTGTTCCAAGTCGACCTCCGACATCCCCAATGTGACCGATTTGTATGGATATCACCACATTCTTCCTCTTTCTTGGATTATTTAACTGGATTTTAGGAGATGGCGTTGTACTGTGATACTGTAAATGAAGATGTTTGGATTTGCATCCCAAGTAAAGCCATGTACAACATTCTTGCACACTGTACCGTGTTTAAATTCACAGTCAGTGCATTTGCCTTGGGCCTGATTTGCATATAGCCAGATGAGGCACTATATCTGCACACATGCCCGACCATCAATATTGAATGTTTTTTGGTCTCTGATCATTTCATAGTAATACATTTTTCATAAAATTGCCTTTAGTTTAAGGGTACAGCCTTTAAATTCAAGAAGGGAAATTTGGAACCTGCTTTGGAATGGTCAAAATTATAAACGGAAGAATCTTTAATTGACAAGTCAAAAGTTTTGCATTTGTCTTAAAAAGATTCAAATCTTGTGATAGACTTAGTCAGGCAGTTAATACACACAGGTGCTTGCTGAAAACGGTTTGTAAGCAGCCAGTGCAGGAAGTTTTCTTCATGTTGAAGCACAGGAAGACGCTGACTGATCCAGGTGATTGGGGACACCCAGTGCTGCTGTTCCATTACGAAATGCATTGGTCTTGTTCTGGTGGATCCGTGTTAATTTTAAATCCCATTTGTTTCACAATACTCCTTCCATCATGTAACCACTAAAAGATTCAAACTGCTCAAAGCATTATCGCTGCTCGGGTAACGTTAAAGCACGCTGCAGCTCAGTTTTAGACTCGCAGAAGGTGTTCTGTTAGAAATTGGTGCAGAAGGTTGTTTACAGAGAAAACAATAGATCTAAATGAAGGCTGTGTGACTGCAGGAACTTCCTGGAATATGTTAAGTTCTCAGGCCAACAGGAACAGAGCCCAAATTTGAAGAGAACGTCAAGAGCAGGTACAGACTAGAACCAACATACGTATGCAAGGACTGAAGATTCTAGATTGAATAAATATGTTATTGAATCTGTGGTCTTGGGGTAAGTATATAAACAATGAATTGGCAGTTTTTCATACAGTTAATATGAACGTATTGCATTTAGTTCAGATTAACTATTGGTGCATGTGTTAAATAAATTGTATCTGCTGTAGCATCCGATGTCTGGGTCACGATCTCTTGCAGCTGTTTTATGGTCTGCAAACTTTTGCGCTGATGTGACTTAGAAATGTTACCGTAGATGGTTGTAAATTCACTCACCTCTTCAGTCAACACACAAACATTATATTGGCAATTATGTTTACCGTCAATAACAGATTCATAGAAAATTGGTACAAGTACCTAAAATCTTATTATAGCCACTTGGCCCTAACCCCCGCTTTTCTGGAACTCTCTTCTGAAATCCCTCTCTTCTGAAATCCCTCTCTTCCTCACTGCCTTCCTCTCCGCTTTAGCCATCTGTCTAAAAAATAATTGTAGAAAAATACTTCCTGGGCCTAGATTTACTCTATTTATATGGTGTTTCAGAGACTGTAGAAGTTGACAAATTGTTGAATTCAATTTGAAGCTGTTTTCTTATAGTACTCAAAATAACTGATAGAAAACTGCCTTCAACGTTAAGACTATATTTAACAATTTGACAAATTCTGGGTGGTCTGAAATGCTTCACAAATAAAGTAAGACTAGGCAAGGGTGAAATTTCTACCCCCATATCTCTGACTGAGCCTTCAGCCACTTTTCCCCTAATCCCTATCTCCCTTCCAGTTTGAGCTCCCACTCAGTCTTTGCAAAACACTCTGAGACATTCTCCTATGTGAAAGGCCCATATTATTACAAGATATTCTTATATCAAATGTATTGTGATTCCTGATAATCTGCAGTGGGGCTGACACATGCATGCAACAAATGCCTGGTGGTTGAGAGGTACTGAGCATCCAATTTCCTAGGTTGCAGGTTTTCTGTATGTGCCCGAGTCTGAGGCTAGTGGAGCATCTCTTCTCATTTGCAACCTACCGCATTATTGAATCTCCATCAGAAGTCCCTGAATAACAAACTGATGCTCGCAAATTTCACCCTTGAAAGATACCAATTTTGTAACTCTTCTGCTTTCATATTCAAGACGTAAGCTGAAAATAAGTCAATAAATTTGCCCAGTGACTGCTCTGCTTCGATATTTATTTTGTTCAAGTTGTCACTCCAATACAGTGGGGGTGTATTGCATTGTCAGAGGTTCTGTCCTTCATTTGAGATGTTAAATTGAGGTCTCGTCTGCCTGTTCAGATCCCATGGCATTCTTTGAAAAGTTTCTCCCAGTGTCCAAGCTAAACAGTCCCCCAGATGGAGTTGGCCATTCGCTTCATGGCTATTTGTGAGACATTGATGTGTGCAAATTGGCTGCTGTGTTCTACAAATACAGGCACTCCACTTTTACAGTATACCCTGTGAAGCACTTTGGGAGATCCTTTCCTATTATTTAAGCAGAAACCGAAATATTTTTAGAATCTTTCTACGCTGGAATTGCATGTTGACAGAGTGTCCTATATGAAATTTACACCTGTTGAAGGTCAGATCT